AAAATTTAGATAGGATTCGAATAGAAAAAGTAAACAAATAAAAGTAGGGTTAGGAAATTGTTTAAATCCGACAATGAACTTCAGTCAATTGTGGCACGAAAATTTGAATATTGAGTATTGCATGCGCAATATGCATTAATTCAAACTGTCCAAAAATAAACGAAAAATTCCCTAGAACTCGATTCGTGTAACCAGAAATTTTACTGTTGGAGGAATTTTGCTTTTTCTAGAATCACGCAGAAGAGAAGCCACGCTATAGCTTTCTTCTGAGGCATTTTGCCAATTTGAGTGAATATTTGGGAAGTAATTGAGTCTTAAACGGTGGTTATTATTCTTATATAACACCACAGCAAGTATTTGCTAATTTAACAAGATTTCAGTTCGTAAAAACCCAAATTCTGGAAAATAAGTTTGATTCATGTCACGTGTTGAGTATCGAAAAGGCCAATCCACATTGGTAAGTCCCTATTATTCATCATTTTATTTTGTATTCTGATCTCTGTTAGAGTTTTATGTCCTCAAAAACGTAATTGATTGCCGTACTTACCTCAATTCTTGTTGAAATCGAGTTTTTTAGTGTGAACTCTCTCTTTTAGGCCTTTTTTTATATTGGGTAACGTTACATCCCTTTCTGCTTTTGCTGTCGTTAGATGCACAAAGGCACCTGATTGCTGAATTGCTGATGCTTAATCCTGAACCTGACAGATTGCTTGTGGAGCTTTTGGGGCCTGTGAACCTCAATCGGCCCCCACGAGGTTCCTAGTAGTATCATTCCATCAAATAACTACCTACATAATCAGGTTTGCGTATAGTTATGCCGTTTGGGGAACCATCCACCCCGTCTGTATTAAGGGTCTCACCATCTCCTTGGGAGCTGGAGCCTTTCACCTGCAACCACTTGTACCTACTGTTCAATATCATAGCCAGTTGAATTCAGAATTACCACTACCTGTCTTAAAAATTACCTTATAACACTTAAGGTTTAAATTAAGTTAATCTTACATTTACTTACCATATTATTTTGACTTCCTGGAACATTCCAAATAGTCCCAATTAGTGTAAACGCATATGTCTAACGCTTACTATCCGCAATTAGTGGATCTGTACACCAGGATAAAATGGATCCATTTACGACGGTATTTTTAGTATTTTGGTATTAATTTAAGGTGCGTGAACCGTACTTAATTATCACCCTTCACTTATTTGAACTTAATGAATGTATTTAGAAAATTACCTATAACTTTTGATCACCATAATGAACCAGAACGTAAGGTAAGATTTGGTAACTGATACTGTTTTTCGTAATTCTGGGTAGGTAGATATTTAGTTTTTTTTTAATTGATTATGTAATGTATTTATGGCCAATTTTGTCACAGTCTAATTTAAGTTAACTGATAGATTCTTCATTATTTTTAAAAGTCATTAAATAAATAATTCAAATTTGGTGCTTATCAGCTGTTGGCTGCCATATAACAATAAATAATTCTTTGCCAAATAAAAATCATGCACCAGAGTGAATTTTTAGCGTTTTCATTTCATTCTATTTCGTGATGCTCATTTAGGTTTTTGCAGTACTTCCGATTAGGATTGAGAGTTTCCTGTTTTTAGTTTATAATCGGTAGCTTCGTTTGACTGCAGGGAAGTAAAACAGGTGGCGCCTTTTTGATGTCTACCGACCCCACTCTCCGCTGCTGAGAGTTAGTCGGACACCCTAAAAACGAAGCTCCATTTGCTCGATGTTGGACATTGAAGTACCTCAGCCACCTTTTTGTGTATCAATTAATAAATTAGGTTTGCCCCAGTGCGCAACCTAACAACGACCTGCATAATAAGTGACTGTTATGTCACTCATTTTTGCTCATTTGCGTTATTTAATGAGCCCTTTATTACCGCACTAGTGCGATAATGAATCATAACGCGTTTATTATCGCACTAGTGCGGTAACAGGTCATTATTTTTAATATAACTACACGTTAGTTAATTGTAGATAAAATGTTGTATATCCCACGTACGGTAAGGCTCATTACAACACTCGTGTGGTTACCACAACTACTCGTTACTGTAGTGAAGCTCATACCGTACTAGTAATATAAATAACAACTATAATTTAATTGAAGCCATGCACCATAATATTTAAATAACTACTGTGGTGGTTAATAAAATTAGGCTGTATATTTAAATAATAATGTTTGAAAACTCGAAAATTTCGGCAACAGTCAAAATGCAAATCCCATTTTAATTAAAAATACTTCTAACTGTTATATCTACTGACTATGTCAGAGAATTTATGTGTATAACAGATGTTGGTAAACGGAGCAAAGAAAGTCGTTTTGTGCATTACATTTAAATACTGATACTGTTTCATTTTTATTACTAAACAGTTATGGGAAAACTTCACCGAAAGCCGTAATATTTTTACGCTGAAGATTGAGCAGGTACGTACCTACTATAAATCAATTCACTGCGGAAAAACGTGACGATTCCAACGAAATTGCAAGATTGTCTGCTTATACTGTTCAAAGTAGATAAGCTATTTTTGGGAATCTCCTGTTTTCGTTTAGCCTTAGTAATAGAGATTATCAACAATCCCAATTAGAAAGAAGTTCTAAGTTCTGTGAAAAAACGTATTGTCATTGGAGCCAACTAACTTTTTTGATACCGAAAGGCTTATAGTTTTCTTTTAGACAAGTCTCAAGTTTCATCTATAAAGTAATGAGACTATTTTTGTTAACTAGCGAAAACAGAAAAGCTAGCGCCATTACATAATTACCCTCGGAGTAAAAAAAAAAACCTATTGGACCCGATTTTTAAAGGGTTTCCTTAGCCAAACGCTAAATGCGAATGGCGTATTACGACGTTATAATTGCACTAATTTAATTCCACTTCTCCGGACACGCAAATTTGAGTGGCGATGGCGCTTACCATGATGAGAAAAGTTTTGCATTTATAATACCAATTTTGTATTTAGGTAATTTTATAACTGGCTTTAGTGCATGAGCGATCTTTCTGTCTTTTCGGAAATTGTTTTTTAGGTTCTCATGAGAACCAGTTTTCCCTCTTTTTAAGTGTCACTAATTAATTTGAATGACAAAAGCTATGATGATAATGCTGCTCCTACGTTTGAGAAGCAGTTATCAAATACATTTGGAATGATTCCAAACAGAGATGGCTTCTGCCGGGTGAGTTTGTCTGACAGGACTGCAATATAGTTACCAGACAGATATTTTGTGAAAGTCTTGGGTGCTTTGATAACACATTTTCAGAGCTCTCAGGAATGTGCGGGATGAATTAAAGGAAAGAATCAATGGTAACCGCAAGTCAGCTTCACTAATTCAAACTTCAGATGACTTTCGCGGTATTGCTGAACTCTTGAAAGGCATAAGTTATTGTACTTGTAGGCGTTCAGGTCTAATTAGAACTTATGACAGTCATCTGTTGAATCTGCTGTACAATTCTAGGTCATCTGCGAAGTAAACAAATGAGTGTTGGAAGCCGGTGATTACATTCTTCATGATGATGTTGAATAAGAGAGACCCTTAGTGGGACTTCTGAAGTACATATCCCAGACAGAATTTGTATATCCTAACATTTGAAGATGTTAATTATCTCTGTCAGTCCAGACATCCTCCTGCAAGTCAGCCTTTTCATTGTCTTCTATCCCCGAATGCCCAGGAATGCACAAGAAATGTATCCTGTTATTTTTTGACTACAGAGCTTTCCAGGTCGTGTAGGCATTCATCGATGTGAGTTCAGAGCTTCTAGAGAAGCCTGGCTATCTGTGAGAATGCTTAGGTTCTGATAATTATAATCCAGTTTTTAGGCGTTAAGCCAGGGGATATGTGCGGTTTCATTTTTGGGGAGTGAATGTAACCTACAAATTTGGATTTTTCATGAAGGAAAGATAAATGTTTGACGTCACAAAGATAGCCGCCAGGCGAAAATCGAAATTAACCATTTTAAGTCTGGTTTCATTCGTAAGGAGTGGAAGTATCATACAAATTTTGATTTAGCATAAAGCTAGGACTATTATTTGGGATGATACTTATTAAATTTCGGTAGTTTAGTTACATTACAACGTCATAAAGTTGGTCGCCGGGCGAAATTGGTAGGTAGTTAACTATTTCAAAGTCTGGTTTCCTGTGTAAGGAGTAAAAGTATCATACAAATTTTGATTCAACATAGAGCTAGGATTAATGTTTCGGATAATACTTTCTGAGATTTGGTAATTTAGTTACGTTATGACGTCACAGATATGGCCGCCGGGTGAAAATCGTAGGCAGATTACCATTTTAAAGTCGATATTTATTTGTGAGTAGTAGAAGTATCCTACAGCATAAAGCCAGGATCAATGTGTGAGATGATATCTTGTGAAATTGGGTTGCTAAGTGACAGGATGCTGTTACAAAGATGGTCGCCCAAGAGATTTCGGTTTTGTTATTCCAATTTGCCTGTAGTCAACTTTTGCCTTTTTATTTCCGATATGGATTCCGAGTCAGACTTTTCACCACTGGCAAAGAAAAATAAAAATTACAGATACAACCGATGAATGCATCATTGACTGTACCAGCGATAACAGTAGTTTAGTGAGTCTCCTCCTCTTCTGAAGGAAGCGACAATAAGGAAACACAAAAGATTGCTGGACATTGCAAAGTCAGTTATTGGAGAAGAATTCCCTGTAATAAAGTACCACCGCCAATGTCGACGCATCTCTACCATGAAATCTAAACTCGCTAATATTACGGGTAAGCAGAACGCTACATTACCGAATGCAGCCTCAGTGTCTTCTACAGTGCGGTAACGTAAAAAATCATTACACCAAAATACGTTAGGAGCAATTCTACCATTCATCTGCATTTTTTGTGAGAAAGAACATAAGTACAAGACAGGAAGTAGAACACCGTGAGGAACTAGTGCAATGTGTGGAGTTGAGATCCAGTAATACGATCAAAGCCTCTGCTATATCGAAAAATGACAGCAGAATTGTTGGGCTAGCTGAGACTATGTGTTTGGTTCCAGCAGAAGCTGAAGCTAGTTCAGCTAAATCATCTGAAATAGCGGAAACGACCCTAGAAGAACAAGAATTTCAGAAATATGCTAGTATGGAACAAGCTGCATTTGGTGAATTAACTAAGTATATGGAAGAACTTCTTGATAATCCTCAAGTTTTGAAATTTACCGAGGTTACTAGCCGTTACGTTCAATCTATTAAGAACAATGGAATCTCAGACGTGAAGTCTCACACCAAAAAAAAAAAACTTAAGATGCAAGTTGGAAAATTTGTATAGCTCCAAAATTCATTTCGTTTCTAACGATAGTGGTCACCTGTTAATGCTACCAAATAGTATGTCCAGAGATGATTTAGTTCGAATGAATGACCATTTATCTGCAAAAGTAGAAGCAATAGAGACATGTTCTGATAAGAATGTGATTACTGCTGCATGTCTAATCCGTAATGAAATCTTGCAACTCGAAAGTGGGAATGTATGGCCACCAACGCCTGAAGACCTATCTGAATTCCAACTTCCAAAGAATACCCATCTGTTTTTGCAGTCTCTCTTGAGAGGGGATAACAGAATAGAACATTTCAGTAGTGTCGCGTTTAATTTGGTCATTGAATCAAGATTTTATTCATGCTGTACGAAGGGAAAGTTTAAAACTCCGAAGCATATTCTGACCCCATTTGCTCTCAAATCCCTCTCTGGTAAAGTCGTTGAGTTAACTAAACTCCTAAATAGATGTGGCCATGGACTTTCATACTCCCAAATCGGAGAAATTGAGACAGCAAAAGATTTCCGCTGGAGAGGAGCAATACTTAGTAATTCCAAGAAATATTATTCCAAATGCATTTACACACCTCGCATGGGATAATATCGATCGTTTGGAAGAAACTTTCTCAGGCGGTGGGACCACTCATGGAGTTAATGGGATTATAACACAGCCCGTGCATTCCGCTTTAGCAGAAGGTATAGATATACAGGAGCTAATAATTTTTGACAGAAAGCTTCAACTGCGAACCATACCAATACTTGGAGCCGCTCGCTCTACAACCTTACGACCCTGGCAGAAGGATTGGCCCTACTCATTGTACGCAAGAAGACGACCCGGCTGGGGTTCGAGAACATAATCTTAATAATTCCAGATGTACTGATTCCAAACTCCAAGGTGAAAGGTACCTTGGAGTTTTGACAGAACCATTTTAAAAGACATTGCAGGGACAAGCAGAGGTCATTCACGTCGAGGACTTTCCACGATTAAGTGTTCGGGAAAATTCCTCAGGCACATTTTGCCGATTTTCTGAGTTGTCCAGTTTTCGCTCATGGCTAATCCGTTATTTTAGCACCAAAGCGCCTTTCGCGGATTTCTTTGTGAGCCGAAAAACAGCAACGTGATCAATTGTTTGTTCCTAAAGGCCAAAGTATTTTGGTAAGTGGTTTTTCTTATTTGTCTTCTCTGTGTGTCTCTATTTCCTATGTAAAAGCATAGTTTTTTTGTTAATTATATGGTTAAATTCCGAATATTGGACATACCTACCTATCGCTCCACGCCCAGTCTCATAAAGTCCATTTGTTTCAGGCCTTTAGACGTTACCTTATTTATTCGTCACGCTTTAGTCCTTAACTTGTGTAGACAGTTAACCGTTAAGCTTTATCTTCAGCCTCCTCTAGACAATTGGAAGCTATAGTGACTCCTAATAGTTACTGAACTTCAGTGCCCAGGGTCAATTGCTTCTTGTTGCGACCCTGATCCAGTCCCAGGCCACCGGAAATACTGGAAGATATCAATCCAATCCTTCAGGTTAACCTCAAGAGTTTAGGGACTACTCAGGTTTGATAAGTGTGTTGTATTGTCTTAATATCTGGAGCCTATCAAACCTTACCAACCCCTTGTTGGAGTAAATCACCACAACGACGCAGTTCTACTACAATATTAAATTACCCTTCAGATTATGTGTTTTTATTTCAATTTTAATTAATTATCTATATTACCTTTATCATATGAAACTTGCCATTCAGGTTATTTATGTATTGTATGGTACTTCAATTTTAATTATTTATCTATACTACCTATTTTATTCCATAATATTAAATTTGCCCCTCAGGCTATGTATTGTTACTGCAACTTTAATTAATGATCTATATTTCTCTAATATCCCATACATACATGCTGCACTGAATACAGGAAAATACTTGTACACTGGGGTTAAATGGCCATTTACGAAGCATTTATAGTAAGCTTGTTTAATAAATTACATTTCAGGTATATTATTGCTGTTATAAGTGTTATACAATACTCTTAATTTCTTTATTTAGGGACTCAAGTTGAGTTAATTTATTGTAAATATTATTTTTAGAACATAAGGTTAGGTACTCCTAGTCGATTTATTTTGTTCTTGTTGTGATTCTAGTGTTAATAATTATCAGTGTTCCAGGGCGTTCGGAAGACCTACTCCGAACCTACTCGAGAGTCAAATCTGTTCTGGTTCTAATTAAAAACCCGTACCCGATTGTAGCAAAGCGTTCCACTTTTGTCCTTCCTTCTTGTTTATTTTTATATTTCAGGTTGTGCTGCTGTAGGTCCGTAGAAGTTTCCTGCTTTCGTTATATCTGTTGACTTCGTGTACTGCAAGGAAAAGCAGGTGGCGCTCTATATTTAATTATTTAATTGATCCACACCCCTCTCCGCATTGGAAGCTAGTCGGCAACCCTTCACACGAAGTCCCGTTTCTAGATTTTATCAACCGACCAACCCTATCTTTCTATTTTCTTTTTGTTTTAGTTACCCATTAACTGTCTCACTTCAGTCACTCCCTCAAAATTAATTATTTACTTTTCCATCGTGTTTTGCGGGTAACAACGAGTCTTACAACTGTTTATGAAATAATGTGTCGTTCTTTAGCCATAAAAGAAAAATTATGGCTGGAATCTATTGCTGTCACACTTGATCAAGCGCTATACGCCAAAGCCACAGAAGTGTTGTGGAAACACTCCGAGAAACTTCACTGTATAGTCCTAAACCTTGGTGGTTTCCATGCTATTTGTAACTTCATGGGCTGTATAGGAAAGCGCTTTCAGGATGCTGGATTATCTGACTTACTTGTGGAAGCTGGTGTTGGGGCAGAGGGGTAGCTGTCATCTATTATCAAAGAAAAACACTATAATCGAACAGTACGCATGCATACATTAGTTTTTGAAGCAATGATGGATGAGGGTTATCTGGAAGTCATTTTCACCGTGGCTTGAAGAAAAAGATACAGTTGTCTTCAAAGACCTTGAAGATTTTAAGGAGGAGCTGTGATATTTGTATGACAATATTATACAACATTAGAAGAAGTACAATATTCAGAGCTCGTTAGTGGTAGTACATTTTCTGTATTATGTGTTGCATTTGCACAATACTTAAAATTCCTAAGAAAAGATAACGAAAACCTATTATTGCTGTGGATGTCATATATCAACATGTGGTTCCTGTATCTATCAGGAATCAGAATGATGATACCTTGGTGCTTTTCGTACGATCACCTGAACTATGCTCGATATTTACCTGTGTATTACGCTAATAAGATGGCTTTAAAAAAAAAACACACACACAACTGTGTACGAAGCATTCGAAACCGGTCAATTTTCAATACAAATGTCTAGAGAAAATCCCTTTGGTAGGGACACGCAGAGGGCAGTAGCGGAACTACAAAATTTAGCAAGCAACCTGCAGCTATTGCAAGATATTATCTGACTTCTGATATGAGAGCAGCATAGCATTCCTACATATGCTTCGTAAAGAAACCAGTGGCATTTCTTCAAAACATGTTCTTCATAATGACCTATCACCAACTGATGAGCGTGACGTTTCATCTATAACGAACCTCCTTACTAACGAATGGATCAACCCACTTGTGAATTTAGACATCGTTAACATCTCGACTGGTTGTCTTTAGTATTCCAACTGCGAATATCACCGAAGACTTACTCGAGCCACATACAATAAGAGAGCAGGCATATTTCGAATTCAAAAGTAAACGTTTGTTCATAAAAGACGATGTCAGCCAGTTTCACTCTGTTATGCAAAGGCAAAACTTAAAAACATTCACGGATCTAAGAAAACAAAAACGTATAAAAGTGAATGAAAAGGAACTAATTCTGAAAGCAGATAGAGGTTTGTTTGCTCAGATGGCAATTGTTGCTGAACGCAGAGAGTTTGATATGATAACTGTTTTGTCACATCCACTGGGATCTCTACCATGGGCATTAGCAGCAACAGATGGAACAATAAGAAAAACTAATAAATCTAAACTATTTGAACTCTTAAATAGGAACTTTCCTACAGCTGAAGTACTACCGGATAATGCTGCATATGTTATCGATGGAATGGCATTAGTACAACAATTAGTTAAAGTACCAAACACTTTTGTATTCCTAGCTGATAAATTATTTTCCAAGAAACTTATTCACGAATCGATATTGTTTTTGATACGCACAGAAGTATATCAATGAAGAATGCTGAGAGACTGCGGCATGGAACGTCTGAAGCGCGTAACTTTTTTAGCATTAAAGCAGCCTATACTATAACCAAATGGAGATAATTCCCAACATTTTCTAAAAATAAATCAGAGCTTATCAAATTTTTGAGTGGCAACAACCAAACTATACTAACTGGCTGGGGACCAAGATAATATTTATGACGTGTAAAGACCGCTCTGTTACCAAGTAACATCAAGTAACGCAACATAAGTAATATCATTGCAGTGTTCTCATGAAGAAGGCGATACATGTTTATTGTTCCATACACATCATGCAGCAAAATCTGGATTTAGAGATGAAATTATTTATTGTGATGATACTGATGTCGCTGTTATAACACTACAAACCATGTCTTCCTGCATCGAACTAGGATGCAATATCTTCCTAAGAAAGGGAACTATCAATCGGCTGAAGTACCTACTTCAATATGAAAGAAATGTTCGAATAAATAGGTGAGGATTTGTGTCTAGTATTACTAGGTTTGCACGCCTTCACTGGCTGCGACACAGTGAGTACGTTTGCAGGAAAAGGAAAAGCTACACCGTTGAAGGTGGTGCGTAAAGACAAAGAATTTGCCGGTGCTATATCTAAGCTGGGAGAGACAGTAGGTGTATCTGACGGAACAAAAATAAATCTCGAGACATTCGTATGTAGGCTCCATAGCAACACTACCAAAATCAGAAGTGTCAACGAGCTAAGGTGCATTTTATTCTGTGGCAAGCAAGGTAACATTAAATCGCACAACCTTCCTCCATGTCAGAACACACTACATAAACACATATCAAGTGCCAATTATTAAGCAATGATATGGAAGAAGGCACTAGATTCACAGCCAGACATTCCATCTCCTGAAGATCATGGATGGTCACTTCAAACAGAGAGTGACGGAAATTCATTGTTACACATCGATTGGATGAGCTGTGCGCCAGTACTTCTTGCTGTTCTTCAGTTATTGACATGTTCGCGCAAAAAAGATTGTGATCCGACACATGTTGCTGTATTAAAAATTCATTAAATTGAACGGATAATTCGGTAAAATTCAGGTGTGCAGTAACTATTCACAACCAGAATATGTTCTCGAAGCTTTAACCGACTCGGACTTTGATTTAGACGACTAATCATTATTGCTTCCTTTAAAAATAAATATATAACAATAGTTTACATAATAATATCAAGTTTATTTCGGCCTAGATCCCTGCCATTTCTTTCGCATAATATTACCTATTAATATATAATGATGTGTTATAAAATGACAATACATTCTCATTCTAAATTGAATTTAAGATTTATGTTTCAATTCGAATTAGCTAAACAGAATTGAGTGAATACCGAGTCTATATTAAATTTTAAACAATATCATGTAAATCGACGACATCTTAGCTGTAGTATCATCCAAATCATTGATCGTGTCTTTATATTTGATTGAAATTTGTATGATATCCTCACAAGTTAAACCTGACCTTAGAATGGTATAGTACGATTTTAACCCGATAGCCATCTTTGTGACGTCGTTACGTAACTAAACTACCGAATATTACAAAGTATCATTCCAAACATTGATCCTTGGTTTATTCTGAATCAAGATTTTTGAGATTATTTCACTACTTACAAATGAAAGCAGACTTAAAATGGTTAACTACGATTTTCGCACGGCAACCATCTTTGAGACGGCATAACGTCACTAGGCTACCGAATTTTGCAAAGTATCATAACAAACATTTATCCTACCTTCATGACAAATCTAAATTTGTAGGTTACAATTACTCCCCAGAAAAGAAACCAAACTGTCCATTTTTAGCCACTTGTCTCAACGCATAATCTGGATCTCCTGTGCGCATGCTTGAATTGCATGAATTTCTGCCTGGTAAATTGTGACGTGAAGTCCCAAAGGGATGTTTTCTTCTGATCTTGGTCTCCATATACGCCAGCGTTAGCCCCATCCGCTGTTTTAGAGCCGTCTGTATACCAGACCAGGCCTCTTCTCATTCTCTGAAGCGTTCCTTCCTGTTATATACTATGGTCGCAAATGATTTTGGTTTTTCAAACCTAATTATGGGATTGATCCGTTTTGCATTTCCTTATAGATGGTACAATTCCTGACTCAACATTTGGCTGAATAATCCCTACCATTATCACATTTTTTTTTACTATAGTCCGTAGTATGATTTCTACAGTTTGAAAAACGTTTGGCATTTTTCATTATATTTTGCACAAAATCCTCGACATATAATTCCGCAACTATTGAGGACTTCCAGCCTCCATGTCGCTCAAACATACTTATATCAGCTCCAGTGTTCGCTAATAAAGCTGCCGAAGTGCGGCGAAAATATGGGCCGGTATACATTTCAGTTTGAGGTAGACCAAGAAATTTAGCTATTCAACTAGGAGTTGCTCCTACTATTTTTACCAAGAACTTGGCTTGTGCACCTCCTTTTCTAAGTTAATGAAAAATCGTTTGCAGCTCAGCTGAGGGGGAGAAATTCTCCGTACGTCGAGAATATTCGAATGTATTCAGAATTGACGATTGTGGTGGAATACCAGATATTTCCATTTCTCCATCTGAAGGTAAGATTTTGTGAATCGAAATTTGTTTCGAAAAATGTCAAACATTACACAGATGCGTAACATACCAAACATTGCTAAATTGTAAATCTGACCTCCCTACTTAAAAGCAAGTAGGTATACATAATCGCAAGATTCATTCTAAATAGATGCTTCAGTTGTAGAGAAAATAGTGTATATAATATACAACTCGGTGACGAGAGAATTTCGCGTTTTCGCTTCATATGATAACTCCGGCTTGGGGATACATAATAGTTACTTTATCTGTATTTTCTGTTCGAAATTACTTCAGCTTCGCGATAAAGCGATCCAAATCCTATTAATTTGACTATCTAAAAGTTACAATAGACGACAATAATAGCCGTCCCAACAAACGAAAATTTTTTTTGGCTCATAATCCTAGGCTGGTTTTATTTTAACATCATCACGTCATGTGCGACAACAAAAAGCCTGCCCCGCCACAATGCCCCGCCCGGTGGCCATAAAATGACAGCGACCTGAAATAATTAGATCCTTTGTTTTATCTATTCCGTTGCCGCACGATTGCTGAATTGTTGTTGGCAATTCCGCCACTGTCCTTTTTGCCGGTCAAACCCTTTACCAGTTAGAAAACAATCATTTATGTTGTCTGTATACCTATTCATTACAGTTGCCCAATATGGCATTTGACAAACACTAACCAGCATGCTAGGGTTCGCAACAATGATGATAATAGTACTGAAGCTATTTGATGTGTAAAAGCAAAGGGCCATCAGACCTGTCAATTTGATTGCCCAATTTCCAATTTAATTGCTAAAGCGAAAAGTTTAAATGGAAAGGCAATCTGTAATATCCTGTTTGATTAAATTTTAGGCGCTTACCATATGCCGATGCACCCATAATTTTCAAATGCAATCTAATAAAAATGAGATGCTAGATGCTATCAAAAAGCGAAAGTAAGACTCATAGGTAAAAGTTGTTATACGTGCATGGATATGGTATGGTGCTGCATTGAATATTAAATTGTATTTCAAAAACTAGTTTTTGTTATAGGAATCTCTGAAACAAGGGCTAACCGGTCTTAATCTCTCAGTGAATGGTCCTTACGCATGTAGCAAGACAAAAGTACCTACATTATATTTAATAAAAGATATATATTATTGAAACGATTTTTTTCTTTTTTTCAGGTAAAAATGAACATGGTGTCAAGACTTTGCAGTCCTGCTTGCAGTTATGACTCACCAGGCAAGATATCCTATCCTAGATTTCTTTGGATGTCCGGAGTCATCAGAAGCTTAAGCTTCCTATTGGACGCATAAAGATGTATTTGATGGATTAATAAGGTGCTGGTGAAAAGTTGGGTTTATTTAAAATATAATGCGAGAGTCTCTGTCAAACTACTCCGAATATAGGTACAAAGTTGTTGTCAGCGTGTGTTCTGCTATAGCAAACTTTACCAATCTGGCTCAAGCCGCAGCTCACATTGCCAAAAAATATCGCTTTTATCTCTAGTCGATCTTAACCCAGCATTACACGCGTCAAAAAACTAATGTCATTACACGCGTACGGTCAAATCAACCGCATGCCCAAATGTATATATGAATTATTGTAAAAGCACTATAATTCCTAGAATTCATGATAATATCAGAAGGAATTATATTATGCAGTACAGTTACCGTATTATCGATAGCCAAAGATACTTCCAATATCAGAAAATGCCAATTTTCAACACAAATATTTTAGATACCACCCAGGTTCACGCGCCTGGTTAAAAGAACCGACTTTGAAAACAACGAACTATATACTTCAACAAAAAAACAAAATATTGTTGGGCCGATGGATAGGTAGTGAAAAACCTTTATCAGGCATCCTTGGATGGACAAAACTGCCACCGTTGTACCAGTGGCGTTGTTCATGCAAGTCAAAATATCGGGATTATTATTAGTAAGATTTTCAAACCATACAAGTTCAGAAAATCTGGTACCTTGGTGGATGCGCGTGACTAGCACCATGAAGGGAACCACTACGGGCTCAAGAATCAAGGTTCGCACGTTGACAAATCAGCTTTGATAAAGTCGGTCCAAGAAATAAATTTTCCTGAACAAAAGGAAACGGGTAGTTTTCAGTGTTCGCATTTCGGCTCGCACCTAAAGTGTCCAACAAAGGGCTCTAGCCATTAGAAGTCGACCTTTTGGAGTTTGACAGGAATCCCTGCGGAAATTGGGCGCAAGATACTCGACCAGAACCAGCAAGGTAAGGTACTTAAAACGTTTGTATTTGTATGGTCTTTATAGTTCGCAAATCGAAGGACTTAATTTAATTCTTTTCTATATCAGCACATGAGCAGGCGTAATTACTGATTTTATCAATGCTCGGACCTGTTGACCGACTCACGTGTACTCCCCAGTTAAACAATTATTGATTTATGAATG